CCGGAACCGCCGGCCGGACGGTTCAACAGGTTTTCAAAAAATTTTTTAAAAATAGTTCGGCTCAAAAAAAAAAAAAAAAAAATACCTTGTCGGAGAAGAATCCTTTGCCGAGGCCGTAGAATTTTTTCGACATTTTTTCGGATTTTTTTTGATGCTCGAATCGTTCGTTGAAGTTCGGAAAATTTAGAGAGATAAAGTTTAGAGAGATGAAATCCAAAAAAAGGTTAAGGGCAAAAGAGTAATTGGGGGGAGCGGTGACAAGTAAAAGGAGGCGGTGAATAGCAGTTGAGGAAATCTATACATAGAATTGAGAGTTTAATTTTTTGCCGACTCTATATAGACTACACAACTACGAGGTTGGACGAAATGTTTTGAGTTGCGTCGTCATGCCTCGTACCCGCCGTGCACTGCCTTTGTCGCCAGCTTTTATCATCGACCTCCAACTTCAGAAACGCCGAGTGAAATTATAAAGCTATAGACCAACATTCAAAGCAAAAATAGTCATGGCTTCGCGCTTGAGTTCCAAATCAGCCCGAAAGTGCAATTTTTTCCCCCCCAAAAAATCAAAACCCAGAGCCCACCCGAGCTTTGATATCTCCAGAAATTCTCAAGAAAATCTCAGGAATAGTGAGGGAATCGCGGCCACGGCCCACTCACAAACTACCAGTATTTATTCCTCATTCCTCTATTTTGTTAATTAGTAAATTATTCCTTTTTAAATTTAAACTAGAACACGGCTCGTTGTTTTTACATCCATGATTATTTATTTATTTATTCGTGAACAGGTGCAGAAATGACTAATAGTGTATATACAATCCTGACAATTGATCGTTGGGAGTCGTTGAATTTTATGAAATATAAAACAGCAAAATTGAGGCCAGTTCATGGGAGGCTAGCTTTGAAATTCTTGAAGTGGGTTGTGAAGCAGCCAGGTTTGGAGCTTAATCACATAACTCACTTGTACTGTATCACAACCCATATTCTTGTCAGAGCACGAATGTACGATTGCGCTAAATCGATATTGTACCATTTGTGTGAAATGGGTTTGGGATCAAGTTCTATTTTCAGTGCCCTCATGGATACATATCCTCTGTGCAATTCAAACCCTGCTGTTTTTGACCTGCTAATCAGGGTTTATGTAAGAAATGGCGCAATTAGTGATGCTATAGAGACTTTTCGTTTGATGGGTTTTAGGGCTTTTAAACCTTCGGTGTATACTTGTAATATGATACTGACGGCTACTGCAAAGGTGGGCAGGTTTGAGCCCGTGTGGTCATTCTTTGGTGAAATTCTTGCAAAAGGCATTTGCCCGAATGTTGCAACATTTAACATACTTTTGAACGTGCTTTGTGCGGATGGGAAACTGAAAAAGGCAAGTTATTTGCTGAGGAAAATGGAGGAGAGTGGCTATGCTCCTAACGTGGTGACTTACAACACGGTACTCAATTGGTATTGCAAGAAGGGCAGATATAAAGAAGCTATTCAGATGTTGGATCGCATGAACTGCCGCGGTATTGAGGCTGATGTGTTTACGTATAATGTACTCGTGGATGATTTATGCAAGAATAATCAAAGCTCAAAAGGGTATTTACTCTTGAAAAAGATGCACGAGAGGAAGATAGTTCCGAATGTAGTCACCTATAATACTCTGGTAAGTGGTTTTGTCAAAGAAGGGAAAATTGCAGTTGCTGGGAAACTTTTTGATGAAATGTCTAAGGTTAATATATTGCCGGATTGCATTACTTACAATGTGCTGATTGATGGGCATTGTTGTTCAGGCAATTTTGTGGAAGCTTTTGAATTTCTGAATAAAATGGAAGCTAGGGGATTAAGGCCTAATGAGGTTACTTACGGAACTCTTTTACATGGACTATGCAAGCACGACAAGTTAGATTGGGCGAATAGTTTACTTGCGAGAATAAAGATGGATGATGTTAGTGTGAATTCTTTAATGTATACTATGCTAATAGATGGAGTAGGCAGAAATGGGATGCTGGTAGAAGCCATGAAGTTGGCTGATGAAATGTGTAAGGATAATGTGAATCCTGACATTGTTACTTATTCCGTTCTTGTGAATAGGTTTTGTAGAGCTGGAAAGATGCAATGTACAAAGGAAGTCATGTGTAAATTATTTAAATCCGGTATAAAACCGAACAAAATCGTATATTCTACGTTAATTTACAATTTGAGCAGACAGGGAGATATAAATGAAGCAATCAGAATTTATACAGTCATGCTTCGTAGTGGATTTTCTGCAGACCTTTTCGTTTGTAACATGTTGATATCTACACTGTGCAAAAATGGGAACATGATTGAGGCAGAAGTTTTTCTGCATCACATCCATAGAACTGGTCTTACTCCAAATTCTAGCACCTTTGATGCTATTATTGGTGGATGTGGAAAATCAGGAGACGGGTTGAAAGCAGTTAAGTTGATTGATGAAATGGTTAAATTTGGTTTTCAGCTCAATTCATTCACGTACGAGAGTCTGTTGAGAGGACTGTGCAGAGGAGGAAATCTAAAGGAGGCACTGGAATTGTTTTATAAACTTCAAAACACTCCTTATGCTGTGAACACAGTCGTTTTGACAACAATTTTCTCTGAGATATGTAAACATGGTGATTTCAAGTTAGCACTAGTTCTTTTAGAGCAGATGGTTCAAGCTGGTCTGTTTCCTGATAGCTATACATACGATTGTCTCATCTCTGGTTTATGTAGAAATCAAAGGGTTACCACAGCCATTCTTTTACTCCAACGTGCATTGCAAAGAGAAATTATTTCTCCAAATGAGTTTATGTATTCCAGCATCATAAACGGGCTCGTCAAGATTGGCCAAGCACAAGCTGCAATTTACTTCTTTGACGATTTGTTGATGAGTGGTCTGAATCCCGACATAGTTACCCTTAATGCAGTTATTTATGCGTGCTCGAGAGTAGGTAAACTGGATAAGCTGAAAGAAATCTTCAGAATGATGGAAAATCGAAATTTATCCCCCAATTTGACTACGTATAACATTCTCTTACATGGGCAGTCAGCACGAAAGGACATTGCGAGTTCCTTGGCATTGTACAAAACCATCTTGAGAGAAGGCCTTGTTCCAGATAAATTCACCTTTCATTCTCTAATGCTTGGGTTGTGTAAGTCTGGCATGGTGGAAATCACTGTTAAGTTCTTGAAAACGGTGATCATGAAAGGGACTCTTGTAGATCAACCCACTTTTGATATGCTAATATCAATGCTCAGTCAGAAAGGTGATATGTCGAAAGTCTTTGATTTGTTAAGTATCATGAAGTACATGAAAATTTCGCCTGGCGAACAAACTTTCTCTTCTATTTTCAATGGGCTGAAAAGGACGTCACGTTTTCAAGAATCCTACTTTCTTCTTCTTGAAATGCTCCAAAACGGCTTTGTTCCTAGCAATAAACTGTACAGCCGCTTGATAACGAGTATGTGTAAATCGGGAAACATACGAAGCACGTTTGAGGTAAAAGACGATATGGCGAAACTTGGTGTCGGCTTAGGCCACGTGGCCGAAAATGCAATTGTTAGAGGGCTTGTGCAGAATGGGAAATTAGAGGAGGGAATATTTCTGCTTAAATCGATGATTAGAGAACAAATTATTCCAACGATTCCAACTTTCACGACCGTTATTCACGCGCTCTGCAGAGAAGGTAGAGTGCGTGAGGCCCTCGATTTAAAGCATTTGATGGATTTGAAAGGAGCTAAGCCTGATGTTGCTGTTTACAATGTGTTTTTAACTGCCATGAGTCGAGACGGTGATTTTGCTCGTGCGTTTGAAATGTACGAGGAGATGAAACAGAGGAGCTTGTGTCCTAATACAACCACTTTTTCGATTCTTGTTCGTGCGGTTTTGTTTGAAAACAATCGTGTAATGGGTGAAAGGATTTTGATGGAGTTGGAGGAGAGAGGATTGGTTAGTCGGGATATTAGTCGAGCTTGGGATAATAGGTTGGCTGATGCTTTAGAGTTTATCGATAACTTAAGGCACAAAAGATGGCGAGAAAGAGACTGATGAGTCGAGCTAGTTGGACTTGTTCGTAATTCTTTATCTTTCTTGGATTTTTGGATTGCGGGGCATTTAACTTGGTCTTTTGAGCCATTAACTTGCTCTTCCCTGAACTCTATGTTCGTTACAGGTAAGAATGTTTTGTCTGTTTCAAGCAATATGCTGTTGATTCGAATACATATTGTAGAATTATATTACTGTTTCTGTTTGGGTACATAGTGAACAGACCTTGATTCTATAGGATCATATGTTGGGAGAGACTTGGAACAATTTGGATAAGTGGATCCAAGATGAATCGAGAGATCTACTTGAAACAATTACTACCTCCAGGTAAACTTGTTTCTTTAGAAAATATCAAAATAGTAAAGCAAAATACATCATCAGGAAAAAATTACATCTTTATAGAAACATAAATCATGTATGTATGTTTCCATTGTTATCTAGTTTATTTTCACAAATATTATTTATGTCATCTACTTTCTTTCTCCAAGGAGCCATGAGGAAAATAAAATAAAAACTGTGAAGGTGTCCCTTCTCAGAGGAGATGGAGCCGAGTCGGAGGAGGCAGCAGCAGACAACTATCGATTGTGAGTTTTCAGTCTTTATATTTATGGATTGTGGAGGCAATAGCAGTGGCAAGCTGTTGGAGAGACGGAGAGGGATTAATATCTACTATTAGTTAAGTCTTTTTAGTGTGTGCTTGTTTATATTTTTTCTATTTTCTTTTTGGTGTGTGTTAAAATAGGTACTACTAAAATAGGTAATTGTTTTACATTACATAGATAGTGGATGCACACTAGCTAACTGTTAGTTTGTATACTAAGAGTTCGATTTTTGTTTACAAATCAAATGTATTTTCAACGTTTATGAATGAGAATCATGTTTAGTCAAGTATTTGTTCTATTATTTTACGTTGTATATAATATGGTTTGATGTGTCGAATAAAAAATTATAATATGGTTTGATGTGTCGAACAAAAGATCATATTGTAAATATGGTTCACAACCTAGATAAAGTTGAATAAACTAGTTGTAGTGTAATTTTGAGTTAGTTTGTCTTGGCTAATGAATTACACTAGTATATTTTGAATGTATTAAACTGATCTCGGAGGATAAGAATTTTTATGCTGACTAAATAAATAATCTAGACCTCAGTTATTACTCGTACTCTTAAGATGTAAGATAATGAATGGTTGCATGCATTTGATTTACTTAAAAAACGAGATTCGAATGTTGGATGGGTGGTTGGGTAATAATATTAAATGAATTACGTTTTGTTGAGATTATTTACAGTCACAGTGTCCCAGTGCATCAGGTTGATGACATTCCTGAAATGAGCTGAAAACGTTCGTTATGCTAAACCCTGCAAGTTGATCAAGTTTTGGCATAATGGAAAGATTCAGTGGTACTAATTTATGAAATAATAAGTTAATTAATTATATTGTCAGTAATTAATTAATTAACGAATATTAGATCTTAAACATGGTGAGATAAATCGAGTAGATAAATTTGGAGCCAAATGATATGAAATTTGAGGTTAAATATGAAGTTCAATACTATCCCTTCAGTGAAATCAAATATTATTCATATAGATTAAGTGTAGGTAGATCAGAACCTAAGTCACGTAATACTTTTCTATGAGTCCTTATTTAACACTTCCTTAAGGTTCTGTTGTAGTCTATAAATACACCAGACAGTCTCACAAAAATATGAGATAATTTTCTGTCTTCTTAGTTTTCACGCCCAAAAGTGTGATAGGAAAGAGGATAGAGAGTTTCAATAGTTTTAGTAAAGAGAGAGAAAGACGGTGTTTTTCCAAACACAAGGTCTTATTCTTTTTTTAAAAAAAAACTGATCGAGTGAGATTATGAGAGCAAGTTCCATAGTCGTTGCCCACAAAGATGTTTGGAACTGGTGACGGGAATACATCAAAAGACTTTAAGGTCACTTGGTACCCGTTCGTCCATTCCCGTAGACTGTGTAAGTCGTGTCAGAGTCGATAATTTTAAACGGTACAATTTAATCCTAACTTTAGATTCTATGCACTTAAGATTTATTTCGTAGATTTCAAACATGCACAATTATCGACGTTCTTCAACAAACCCAATAATAGGTATCAGAGTCATGGTTAATTCGACTTTCGTGCGATATTCGAATTAAGAACATACACTTGTGTTCGGGCACGACAATAGTAGTGTAGAATTGCATAACTCTATTTTAAGGTTCGTAGGCGCCGATGCAAGCACACGATCAATAACATGCACATTGAAGAAAGGTTGCGCTCTGGTAACCGAATTGTATGCTGGTCGCCAGCAGGTGCGCTAGTCCACAGTTGCGCGATTGGGTTATCGGTTGTGCGCGAAGGCTGAAATATGTCGGATTTGTGCATGGGACGCTAGACTGGTGCAACTGACGGGGCTGCGAATGGCCGGAGTAAGTGCCGTTGGATGTGAATTCAGGGAATAACCAATAAGTTCGGCGGTTCACGTATTTTTGGTGAATCGGAGTCGACTCGAGAAAGACTAAGTAAGGGCCAGTTCAATGAACCGACGATCTCGATTCAGAACCCAGCCGGCAGTTTAGGTCCAGTTCCGCCATGAAGCGGAAATTTAAAAAGTAATAAAAAAGTTTAAAAAAAAAATCAATTTTTAAAGTAGAATTTTGGCACCTAATTGTCGATTTGGGTTTGGAACTTAAACCGACCGATCAATTTTTTATTAAAATATGAATCTGAACCGGCCTGTTGTTCAAGGCCCGCGGTCAATTCCCGATCGAGTTCTAGGCATGTCCTGCCTGTCCTCTCTGCTCTACTCATTACCATCGAAATCCTTTCGATAAAAATCTCTTCTGGTATACAGCAACACGTATGTCTGTTCATATATACGCTTATGGAAATGCATAAATATGTTTGCTAGGGTTTCTGTTCTCTTCATCATATTCATATGTTTAGAGCGCGCAAGTGAAAACATGTTTTTTTGAATCCTTTTGCAATATGCAGTTGAAAGAAATGGAGAGCCCGGAGTTTAGCCCGAACCCGGAGGTGAATCAGCTTCCTGAAGCCGCCTCTTTGCCGGATGGGTTTGTCGAATCCTCCTCTGCGGCGCCATTGGAGAAGGAGGCGGTGGATGATTATAAGGAGGAGAAATTACTTGAGGCCGGTTGGAAGCCTGAAGTTGTGGTTGAAGATGGCGGTTCGTCTCTGATAAAATTAGTGGACGATCAGAGTCAATTTGTGGTTGCATCAGATGCTGGAGCTGCTTCTGCTGAAGGAAATGTTAAAGAAAAATGTATATAAACACTTTCTTTTGTTTGACATCTTTGATTGGAGTTTCAAGTGTTGCAGCCTTTTGATTCCTAATAAATGAGTTTTATAGTGGTGAAGAAGATAGGGTATTGAACAAATATAGTGGAAGTGAGACCTTGTTGGAATTTCTGCTTCTACATCTTGACATTGATTATGTTTGATGTTTACACATAACTTGTTAGCTTCATGTTGCTTGCTGATTACTGACAAATGGGGTTTCTTTTGACTTCCATTTTCACATTTAAAATCAAATGCTTGGAAAGTAGAAAATTATGGGAAGAAGATCTAAATGCCCATACATGAAATATTGTTTGGACTGGAAGAGGCTCTTCTTTCTAACTTAGTTATGTTGTTCCTCTCATGTTCCATTTCATTTTATTTCCTTTTTTATATTGAATATCATTAAATTCTTTTTTCCTCTCTGTATGAAATTAATATCTCAGCAACAATGGCAAAGTCACCAGGGGGATACGATATGTCTGGAGATGACTTTAGAACTAAATAAAGGAAAAAATATGCAAAATGGCTTGGAATCATTTTATGGTGAAATGTATATAGGAAATATATTTTTGAAAGTTATGTGGAGTATGAAATGATTTTACTTCTGTTTTGACTGTGTTTGAGGACATTGTGGATTTGTGGTGAAATATATATTTTCTTGTTTTTTGGCTGTCACTTATGTTAGTTAGTTCTTATGTTTTTGTTATTATATTTGCGTGATATATTTGTGATTATATAATTTTGGAAAGGCGTGAGTGTACTTTTCTTGTGTCCATTGCAAATGGAGCTGACAGAGTCATTTTTGACGATTCTCCTGGCATAGTGCTAATAATGGACTAGATCAAAATGGCTCAATTAAATTCTAGTGCTTCTTCTATTAGTGAAGTTTCTAGAAAAAAAAAATATATATCAAGCGGAGCAATGCACCTTGGGTCGCTACGGAAGCAGCCTCCTTGTATAATTACAAGGGTAAGGTCTGCGTACAACCGACCCCCCAGACCCCAACCTGTTGGGAATATACTGGGTATGTTGTTGTTGTTGTTGTTGTGCATCTTGTCAAAAACAATTTCTCAGTATGCAGACGCTTGGTGCAAGAGCTGATTTTGCGTACCATGTATTGTCTTTTTGGATTTTAGTTTGATTTTTGATCCTTGTAATGAACATCTTTGGTTTTGAATTCTTTCTGTGTAAGCAGCAGGTGTTTGTTTTTGAGTTGGAGCTGCATGTTTCCAACAAACTCTGTGCTTGAGACATCTTTTGCTAATTTTTGTAGCTTGTCAATTTCTTCACCTGATTTTTGCTTCTCCTTTTTTCAGCTGTTGGACGCACAGAGTTGCAAAAGGCAGTGTTGGAGGAGATTTCAGCAGCAGGAACTGCTGAAAACAACAAAAAAGTATATTGTAAATCCCTATCTAGAAATAAAATCGGAACTCTAGAATATTTACGCTTGATACTCGTTTTAATGCAGCTTTTTGCTTTATGTTTTGAAACAAAGTTGGTGTTAGAAGTTATGTTTGTCCCACATCGATTAGGTACTGGGTTGTTATTGTGTATAATTTTGGGCCGCGCACCCTCTCCCTTTGAGCTAGCTTTTGGGAGGTTTTGGGGATGAGATCTACCCAAGCTCATGTATCATGGTATCAAAGCCTTGTTTGTTTGGCGATGTTGTATTTGGACCCAACCTATTTAATTTAGTGAGGGCGGGTGTTAGAAGGTATGCTTGGGTGTTAGAAGTTATGTTTGTCCCACATCGATTAGTTGGTGGGCTGTTATTGTGTTTAAGTGTGGGTTGGGCACCCTCTCCCTTTGAGCTAGCTTTTTGGGGATGATTTATACCCAAGCCCATTTATCAATTGGATTGCAATTGTTTTTACCTTAATTTTCTAGTCAGTCCTGTGGACCCTTTGATGAAAGTTGACTGTAGTTTTAACATCTCATCAAATTTATAATTTTATACTGCTATTCCATGTTTGCTATATAGTAATCTGAATCATTTGGTATCTCTTATCTTTGATGCATTTGTCAGGATTCTTCTGAAGTGAAGCGTAAAAATGTAAAACGTACCTTCAAATCAGAGAAGGAATTTTTGGAGTTCACTCTGAAGTATCAACAAGTCATTGCTGAAAGAGATTCAGGTTGGTGATTTTTATTTCACACTGTCAGTTTGCATAGGTGTAGTTTTCATTATACTTTTCTGGATGTCAATTTTGTAGTTCAACCTATTTCTGTTTATGTAAGCTTTCAGATTTTATGTTTTGAAAATCCGAGAATAATACAATCTCACCACATGCTTCCTAATGTGACTTATAGCAATATATAGTTACAGAATTGTTGCTGAACTGATCTTAAAAAGTTTGGGTGTATCGTAACTATTTACTCAGATATTTATTTCTTTCAATGAGAATATACCCCTTAGTACTTGTGCTGGAGACATCAATATTATTTTCTTATCTATGTATTCCTCTCCTCTATAGCTGTTGCCGTTAGAGATAAACTCGAATCATTGTGCCGGGCGCTGCAAAAAGAAAATAAGAAGTTAATGGTAACTACTTATTTACTTTGTGTGTTAAGATCATATCTTCCAGCTTATTTTCTTTCTAAATTATCAACCACATTTCGACGCAATATGGTGATTATTATCCTCAAATTATATGGAGGCCTGTTGTGTCGTTTGGCGTTCTTGTTTGATGATTACCCATGGATGCCTAGCATTGGGTACAATGAAATGCATGTTCAAACCATGTTTTCATATGTTATTTTGTGGATTCTGATTTCTAACAGATTTAGAAATCTTTTTACTTAGTTTTTTTGGTTTATTAGGATCTATTTCTTGACTTGTGTGACTATAGTGAATGAAGATCATGTTGATGTTTTGGTATATAACAAGGTTCTATAACGCTCTTAGGTGCTCGCTAGGTGGCGGATTGGAGCCTAGCCCCTAGGTGGGGATTAGACGGGCTGTGGGCAAGGTCGTAATAGTATTAATAAATTTATTTATATCTATAATCATGCATACCTTACAAAATACATTGTATAAAATATATTAATTATTATGATTAAATACAAATATTTTCAACAACATTATGTACTTAAATTATTATTTAATTGTACATGATTATTACTTTTTTATTTTTATAATTAGTGTAAATTTCATGTATAAAAATCAAATCTATTTTTATATATTTTGAAAATAAATTGAAAAGTTAGTCTAGTCACGACTAACTTTGCGACCGCTTGGACCGCCTAGGCGGTGCCTAACTCGCCTAGAAGAGCCGCCTAAACGAACGGGGCACCCCAGTTGCCTAGCTCGATTTTAGAACACTGATATATAGTAATGTCCAATTTTGATATTATCCTCACTAATTTAGCTCAAAAGTTCTTGGCATTTATTAAAATTATCATTTTTGGTGATAGTCAGACTTTTTCTTAATTACTGGTTCTTTTACACCAGGAAGAATGCAAGAAAGTTTCCAGGGAGGGTCAAAATTTGAGATTAGACCTATCAGACAAGTTTCAAGACGCAATTAAGGTTCTCATTTTTATTTACTTATTTACTTATTTTTATAATATATTCTGAAGCTGCCTTTTGTATTTAGTATTTATGATTGCAATCAATTGCAAGATAATTCTCCAATATCGGCATCTGCTTTATGTTTATCAATGTAAACATGTCCAATTCATTATCATCTCTGAATTCCAAAGAGTTTCGAAAACAAATGCTCAAATGTCAAACAACATGACTGCTGATTACTTTATTTTTTGTTTATATTACCCTCGTTCTGTTGTAGGAAGTAAGCAAAAAGCTGGAGGAGCAGAAGGATGAAAGTATATCTCAGCTAAAAGAAAATGAAATGTAAGGGGAAAAAAAAACGTAAAGTAAAAAGAAAAACCAAGATTATACTCCACCAAATACTTTAGAACCTTTGCATGATTGACTGTACTAGTGCAATGCTACTCTTCATGAATGCGTAATTCTACATAGTTTTGAAAAGTAGCTGGATTAGTTTCCTCGTTAATGAAAAAAATATACCCTAATGACATATTTGCTATATTAGCTGAATGGTACTCTGTGAATACTGACCTCTTGCAGCAACATGTAATTTGTTCATAATTTTATGAAGGTTTGTCGTGTTTAATTCAAAGGGTCATTTATTGCTCAAGTTCCATTCAGAAAATGTGCCTGCTATGAACGTGAAACGGTTTCCTACGTTCATCAAATAGTTTTGCAAATTTATATGAATGCATTGATCAGTTTTTTACTATTGGCATTGGATCATATCGTCAAATTTTACCCAATATTTTGAAGAACAAATAAATCTGCTGCTAGCTGTCTCTCTCTCTCACACACACACTTACATACACACACACTCACACAAACAACACACACTTTTTCTGCTAATGTTTAGTTATGGAAACCCAGTTTATTTTTTATTTCTGGAAGAACACTTTTGTCTGACCTATCATGATTTCCTGACACTTTTTACCAAAAAATAAAAAATAAAGAGAGGGAATAATATAGAAACTCAATCGCAGTGTTGAGACTTGAGAGTTCTTTTGAGAAAACTGCAAAAAGCTTGACAATGAAATGTCTGCTCTATTATAATATTATGTCTGGGATTTACAAGTTTAAAAAAAAAAGTCCGTTCTTAAACTCCAGGTTGAAGACCAAGTTAAAACAGCTTGTCGATCAGTACACTCTTTCCGAGCAGCAACATGCACAGCAGGTAAAAAGCTGCTCTCCTAGCTAAAGAGTTTCTGCTTATTCAACGAGCTACTAATCATCTTCAAGTGTTTGTAGCATGATTTGATTCTCTCTTACGTTGTTTCCTTTTTTGCAGCTCAAACAGAAAACTCTTGAACTTCAGCTTTCTGATTTAAAGCTCCAGCAACACGAAGAGAAGTTGAAGCAGGAAAAATCTCAGATGAAATTGTATGCTGAACAAGTTGCCCAACTCTTAGCAACTGAAAAGAACTTGAGGTTGCAGTTAACAGCTGACGGTGAAAAATTCCAGCAATTTCAGGTAGTTCTGGAATAACTATGGAAATAACCCCTGTTGTTTCCCTAGTTACAGAAATTTCCAATTATCATTTAAAATAACTAATACCACAATTGATGTTTAGATTTGTCTTGAACCTTACAAATTTTCACTCCGTAAAATTTTCCAGGAAGCATTGATGAAAAGCAATGAGGTTTTTGAAACATTCAAGCAAGAAATCGAGAAGGTATGTTTTCTTCGACATCTTTTGGCTTTATTCTGCTCTTCTTGATCCATATTGTGTTTCCTTCTCGAACCGAATGTCTCTATGAAATCCAGATGGCGAAATCAATAAAAGAACTCAAAAAGGAAAACAACTTATTGAAGGGCAAATGTGAGAAAACTGATGTGACCATTATTGAACTAGCCAATGAGGTAATCTTTCTTATACACCTTTGGAATAACTTTGGAGTAAAATTGCACACATGATACTTATTTAAGTTTTTGTTGTGTTTAAATATTTCTTTGTACCTGGAATTCGGTGTCTATTGTAATGCAAGGAGTTCCCATTCATCATTAACTTCTCCCTTTTGCCTTTCTTGAGCTTGCATCAATGTGAAATTTTGTTTTCTGGCATTTCAATATTGTAATCATGCAATAAATTTGGATTGTTGATGTATTACTTCTAACCCATGCCTTTTAGTTTGTTTATAGTTCATATTCTGTTAATACCTGATTCTGGTTCATTCAGGATTGGGATAAAATTATTAAACCACCCTTGATGTTTGACTTACTTACCTGATAAAGAGAAAAGAAACCCTTAAAAATTTATGGAACTCCCTCTAGGTGTTTTAAACATCAGGAAAGGCTTAAATTAAGTTCGTAATTTGTAAGATAATAAAAGATAGGTGAAAATGTTTTCTGTTTCGGCAACATCTCCAAGACAAGCAGCACTTGTGGTAATTATTTTAGCCCTGATTTATTTCACACGAAAGATAATATGATTTATTTGGTTACAGCGTGAACTTTTGAAGAAACAACTGGAAAAAACAAGAAATCAGAAGGAAAAGCTGGAGTCATTATGTCGGTCACTCCAAGCAGATAGGAAAAGTAATTCTGTTGCAGGCAATAGCTCAGATTCAGTCCGTGTTTAAATTTAATTCATGCGTTTTGGAATACTACTGAATTTAGCTATAGCTGTTTCGGGTTGCATACTGGGTTTCCTGTACACGGAGCACAAACAATTGTTCCATATTTGTAATGTTTTCTGTTGTGGCTACTACATTGTATGCTAATGTATATTATGTGACCAAGAGAACTACTGGACATGCCTTTTGTTATAGCTTAGTGTAATCTTGCTTTTGTGGCCTAATTTTGCTGGCTTGATCATTATTTTCTATTTATTTATATCTATATATTTCGTGGCGGTGTGCTCCCCGGGCCAACGGATGACGAAGAAGTTTTCTAGGGTTTTTACCTTTTCTGAAATAGGGATATTTCTCATCCGACTCTTAACATATCTTGACCATATATTTATGCAGTTATCATATTTATACTATTTTTTTACCATGGATTTATGCTTTTATCATGTTCATATTACTTTTCTATGTAGGAAAGGAGATGGTGTGTGAAGACCTTTCAATATTCTTCCCGTTCAAAATAATTTTTTAGATTGTTGTTTTGCACGAAATTTATGGTTTTTGTAAAATTCCACATAATTTCAAGGGTTGAGCTTGAACTTGCAAGGTAATTATTCCTTCACATTTCTATGTAGAATTACATGAAAATTCATAAAATTTGTCCATAACAAACTATTTAAATTCATACCAATTTGAGGATAGACACATTCTGCAGAATGTAGAATTCCATGAAAATCCATGCAATTCTGTCCATAACAAACAATTTAAATCCTTACCAGTTTGAGGATAGAACAATTCTGCAGAATGCGTGATAATCTTTATCAAGCATAGTAGAATTTATCTGAATTTATACAATTCAATAATGAGCATACTAGAAATTAAATTATATGAAATTGTAGATTACATCAAAATCTTATTAGGATATCATCTACAGATGAATTGTGGTTAACAGTATTGCATGTCAAAGAGAAATGAAATTCATCTTGATATGACTTTCATAAAGCGATTCAGTGAGGTGAAGATGCCTGCGACTTGATCAACGAAAGATCCTTTTTCCAACTTATCTTGACCGCCAAAAACCATCTGTCGAGAAAACAAAAAGAAAATTTATCTACATTTTCCCCAGATAATTTCACTTATTTTTTATTTATTTATTTATCTTAAGTATCTACTCAATAAATTTAATAGCTGAAGTAATAAATTAACTGAGAGATATAGATTAAACAAATAAACAAGATCCAAACAAACAAAATTATAACTTTCTCTATTTAGTAAAAATGATTTTTTGCCAAAAACTAATTGTTATTGATATCAACACCCACAACATAAATCTTCATTTTTTATTTTCAAATATATTTGTTGAATTTTTGTTCTCTCTTTTGTTTCAAAAATGTTTTCTGAAATTTTTTCAAAAATACCAACAAAAAAACATGCCACTTAATTAAAGCACTTCTGAATATTCATGTTGTGATCTTTTCTTGATTTTTTAAATTTGTTTTTTGGAAAATAAATAAATGAATCTCATTCAACAAAAAGTATATTTCCCTAGATCTTTGTTAACATGAGATATTCAGACTATCAAAATTTGCAATATTAAATTTGAAAAATCGATCAAGTAATAATGATGCAGCATAACATACAAATTACTTTCAAAAAACTATTTATAAAAGTTTAAATTTTGTTATTACATAGGAAAAATGAATGTCAATCAAAAATAATAAAAAAACATGGTTAATTTAAAATATAAACCAAAGTAATAAACAAATAATTGCGAAGTTTAAATATAAGTTAAATATTTTTTTTTTCAGTCAGTTTCGTGCAAATGAGTGAGCAACTGACCTCGAGTTCGTCTATATCCGGACGTTGTATGAATTCCTTAGCAAGCACATACCTATTGGGCCTTTCCTTATCATCATAAAACACCTTCCACACTCTAATATCCGTTCAAAATCATTTCAATATAGCTTCAAAACCACTGAAGATTTTGTATTAATAATAATAAAAGTGAATATGTACTTACTCAGGGTAACATCTAAACACAGCTCCTGATGGAAGAGGCTTCATTGAGTAGACAACAGTAAATGTGCTGCATGCAATTTATGGAGGACCGAATAACTTCAACAAGTTATCTCATACAAAAAGTGTACACAAACACGATAACATTTGTTTATATGAATGCCAAGACATTAGAGGCAGGCCCGTCTGAAAGGGGGGGGCAGCTGGTGCTTGGCCCAAGGGCCCTAACCGGTTGGGGGCCCATGAATATATATATACATGTATAGTTAAAGACACCCTATATATATATATATTTGTACCAAAAAAAAAAAAAGACACCCTATATATTGAGAGTGTCGGTAAAGAGAGAGAGAGTGGATATCTTTTTGTGTCAAATCTCGGTTTTACCCATATGAATAGTGTGTTTTCTTTTTAGTTGTAGTAGGGAGGGCAATTTAGTAATTAAAAGTAAAAAAAAAAAATGTCAGGCAAGAATTTAAGAATATCAAACGCTTTTGTACTCAATTGTTATATTTAAATTTTAATTAAGTTGTCGGGCCCTTTGTGTCTTGCTTGCCCAAGGGCCCTCGAAATTGTTGAGACGGCCCTGATTAGAGGTACAACAGAAAGAGAGGTGATTATTCTAGTTAAACACATTTAAATTTGATGAATAGCAATTTAATTGTGGAAAAAAAAAAGAACCTCAAAAAGTTGCGCCGTAATCTGCGGACATTGATCCCAACGCCAACATCTTCACTAACAAGTCGAGGGTTCCACATGATGAGAGGCCTAGGCTAACAGCATTATGTGAACTTAGTTTAAAGTTCTAGGTAGCTGTACTTTAGTAGAAATGGTGTTTAATTTATGTTAATCTTGTTGAGATATGTTGGCATCCTTCTACATTGTAACGAAATTACTGCATTCAACAAATGCTCCCCTCATAATGAATATGGGGGGATTTTCTTTAGTAGTATATAGGGGGATTAGCATGATTTTAAGAGGTTTAATTTATAAACTTGATAACTAAAATAATTACATTTTGCATGGAAATAAGTATTTGGGGACATTTTCAAAGATGAATAAACTGCAACAGACAACAAGGAGATACCGAAAATTGGAAGAGGAAATTGAAAATGCAACCCAGGAGAAGATCAAGTAAAATAATTTACTAAGCAATTAAATATGCCGAAAAAGAAAAAGCATTTTTTATCACACTAATTCACAAAATTTAGCTCGGGAAGACATACTCCTGATTATAGCTAAACACATCCATAGTTGCAACAAAGAAGTTCTGTTGAGCAACCTTTTTTGCAAGTTTATTTAGCTTTTTATGAGTTATTTTAAGTCAACGATATCACAAAAGGATTGCAAGGGTAAATGGAGATACTGCTAATAATAATAATAATAATTAAAAAAAAAAAATCACCCACTAATATGACAGATGAAGATGTATCAGTACCGGATCATCAGAAAGGTCGGCTGCAAGTTTTTCCACATATTGCAACATCTGGTAATCTGGAACCACCATCACAATAATATCATCTTCAGCGCTCACTGGCTTCCGATCACCTAAGCTAATAAAATGAATCATAACTAGTATTGGATTAAAATGGAGAGAAAAATATCTACACACGCCACATGAAATTCATTTTCTCAGAATATCTTTAGGAAATTACAGAATCTCAGTTACAACCACCTTCAGAAAATTAATGACAAGACAACTTGTTGTAGTGGAAAATTCTGCGCTCCAATCAGCGATTAAAATTATGTAAAAACAATAATACACTACACATTAGAAAGAACCCAACATAAAATAACAATAAACAAAGTAGAAAAATAGCAAATAGCAACATTCTATGTCCAACACAAAATCAACAAGAAGGCTAATGGAGTATGCTACATTTGATGAACTAAGGAGTAGCAATAGATTGAACTAAGGGCTCAATGGAGGTTCATAATCGAACTATTGATTCCAGTTTATGATAAGAAGGCTAATGCTTATGAAAATTTGTTACCTGGAGAAATCAAATGCAGCATCTTTCCATCGATATTTTAAAAGTGCAGCAGCACCAGCATCCGGAAATATGGCTTTAACTCTCTACATAAAATAAAACTTTTTACATCTCAATATTAATAGTTACGAGAAGGAACTGAGAAAAACATGGGATTGGAACCTGGTTAACACAGTTTTAATGGTAAGCCATACTAGTTATCTGTACAGTTCTTGTGGTAATTACATGTCAATATTGGAAGTATCTCAGATAAATCATCAGTTCTACTCACTGTGTAACTAAGTAAGAAATGCATTACTATATTACGGGCATTCTCATTCGGCTTATACGGACAAATACTTGCTTCCACATTATTGTTTGGTAACTTAGCTGATTAGAATACATAACTAAAGATTCATTTAGCAATATTGGCATGATTGCATAACATATATGTGTACATAAAATAAATAAAAATGTAAAAGACAAAATGACAAAAGAATCATCATGTACATAAATAAAGATAATTCAAAGACAATACACATAAAAATCAATAATTGAACATAAAAATGCCAAAATATAATAGTAAAAAAAAAAAGAATTCTTATTCTAGGTGCAATTATTAAGAATAGTTGGTGCAATTATTCGCACCCGAAAAGATAATAAGCACACATCAACTTATAAATAAACCCCAAGAACCACAAACTTGTAGCTCAAGTTATATAGTTCATTTTTAAAGAATGTTGTAATGGCAGATTACAAAGTTCAATCCTCTAATTGATATTCACTCCCTATCAATCCCCCGGTAACCTATTAAAAGAAATAAGTACACCCAAAGAGTAGTCGGGGAAAGGGACCAATTCAAAAACTATAATTGCAAGTTTGCTTCTAATTTTTATACCTTTTTTTTTTCTATATTTCAGCATCTCTGCTTATCTGGTTAGGGTTTCATTTGAAGTAACGGTTGTTGATGGATTTACCTGGTCTAACTAAAATTGGCGAAGAAGTTTGTATTCATTTTAACTTTTCAGGCTTTGTTATATATGTCTGCATTAACTTATGTATAACTATATGAATGTATTCATTTTGCGAAAACACATGAAAATATTTTTACATAAGCTCATAACCTACCACAATATTGTACTAAAACAAATATCAGAGACCAACCTGGCCTCCCGTTTCTTCAATTAGAGTGTCCAAAAAGATCTTTGACAGCTCCCAAAGCTCTGCTTGGGCCCCTTCATTATCAAGGAACTGCAACTGTGGAATTAATAGCTCTACCTACAGAAGCAGAAAAAATCACATGCTTATACATTTGATAAGCAAAATGACAAGAACAAATAAGACTTAAGACAATATGTTTTAGGTTCAAAGATGGCGCATGTGCTTGTCCAGAACCTGGAAACTGCTCTTGACATAGTTGCAGCAAGCCCTTGACTATCTTCACTCGCAACATAGCAACTGAAACAAATTAAAAGGACTCATATACTCACTATAGCTCTCATTCCTCCTGAAGAAATAAACTCCGCACTTGCTTGGCCTGATTGATGCACCGCACCCTCCAAATCCGAAGGAAGGCAACTGAAACATAAATCAAAGTAAATATAACTAATGAAAAATATTTAAGGATAGACATAAGTAGTTACAACTACACGAAACAAGATGATTAACTCATACATAAAGAAAAAGAAGAATTTCATACATGTGAAAGTTGTTTTAATTTCATTTCAATTAGCGAAAAATTAAACAAGATTCTCTCTATTTATTGATAATCGAAAGACAAAAGATTTTGCATGCTTTAGTGGTTATATTACGTCAATGACACAAAAGATAGTTTCAGGCTTTGTTATATATGTCTGCATTAACATTGGTCTAAAAGTTGTCTCAGCTGTGTGAATTGTAAATTTCATTTAACAATGTAAAACAAAAGGCGAATAGCTAGCATGAACAAGTCATGTCAGCAAATGAAATATACAGCAATCATGCTATCTTAATGTAGACTATCCTCACTCTTTGGCATGATCCTTCTTTATCTTTAGAAGGAATCAATATAATTGTCTAGTAGATATATTTTTCCACTTAACAGTCCTCATTAGTCGCAATAATAGTAGCGAGCTGTTAGTAACATCTTAAGTTAAAGGCTTCGACTGACTCATAAGAGCATCTCCAATGTGACTTTTGACATTGCAAAAAAGTATCCATATCATCAACTTTTGAAAGTTTGTTACTAATTTATTCTCCAATGCATCTTGTCATTAGCTCTTTCATGATGATGTGGATGACATTTAATGTTGACAATGTTGAACTCACTTTCTAATATTTAACACCATGTTAAACATGATAAACATGATGACTCATTAATTCACTTTATATTTGGTTTATTTTTTTATATTCTTGTATTAATGAATTGTTATAATTGGTCTACCTAAACAAATAAATTCTTATCGAATTGGTGCACTGGAGATACTAATTTGATTCAAAATTTTAATCTTTTAACATTATTCCTATGTGGATTAACATTACAATCATTAATTGACATGTGTCAAAAATTATTGCCTTTCAAAACTATAGCATTGGAGATGCTCACTCCGCACATGTTTCGTTACACTTCAAATTAAATAATTAAAAAAAAATGTGTCAAGCAATGAACTTAAATTCAATAACTGGCAAAGCATCTTAGCAGTACCACAACAAAACAACAAAACGAGACTGAGTTTTAGCTGCAGAATTGAACAATTTAAATCGAATTAATGTCCAAACCTGTCATCCTCTTCAAATTCTTCAACTTGTTGTGGATTATCTTCTTCATAATTGTCCTGGCCTTGAAATTTATCAAACTTGGCAAGTGTTGGTGAGCCGTGAACAGATCTTAGGCGTGAAAGTCCATCGAACCCACAGGCTTTGGAACGATACAGATTTGAGGAGAAATGGGTGACGAAGGATAGTCTAGGAATTGAGGCCGCTAGCGTTAGGATCGGATATGTTGCAGAGGTCATCTTTGATGTATCCTACTGCCACAAACAGATTAAGTGATTAACTGTAATCCGCCAAAATACGAAATACAACACAAATAAATGTGGTCAATACTCAATGATGCCACATTGCCGGCTCATAAAAAGGCTATCAATAGGTTTTTACTTGGGTGGCCAACAAGTGTTAGAATGGTGAGGAAGATCATGTATTGTGAATTTGAATTGTGTTGACTCTATTTATCTTCTCGTATTTAAGATATAATGGTTCGTACGGTGGGTCAAGGTTGCACCAGTGGTGTCCTCACTCGTTCGGGTCGTCCTCGATCTTCTAGATTAGTCGATAAATATAACAAACAATTACATAAATTGAATTATGACACATGCAGGGATCATACATGAATGATTCTAGTAAAACGATAAACTATGCGGTGTCCAACCGCGCGCTTAAAATAATATAATCATTCACAACTCAAAAAATCTCTGACATGTTCGAAGCTTTAAAAACACAAACATACATACATAAATAAAACACATATATACAAGCCATAATAGTCGGACAAAGAACTCCTCCAAAAATACAAACTTTGCAATTCTATACTATTATTTCATGTGTGTTCGCATAATTCTAATTCAAAGTGTACACGCAAGCCGCATTAGCCGAGTTGTGATACCAGTTGTTGGTTCGGTTAAGAACGTCGACTCATGTGCACATTCAAATAATTAACGAATGTAATCCTAACGCAGTAGAATTAATTGTTAGGATTCAGAACTTATGTTTTAAAATTTTTGCAGACTCCGAGACATTTCTTATTTCTGTTGATGGAGATCGTATGAGCCTCGTCAGATGTCTACCGCTGCCCCTTGATTGATTGTCGAGGAACATTCAAATATATATATTTACATAAATAATGTAAGTATCATATTGTATATGAATTGAAAATTTAGAAATCTTTTAAAACACATCTTTGTAATTGGTTATTTCTTCACTCTAATGACTAATTGGTGCAGACTAATTATTATTATTATTATTATTATTATTATTATTATTATTATTATTATTATTATTATAGCAATTAATATTATTCAATAATTAGTAGCTTAGGGAATAAGCTAGGGTATAATGTGATGGCTTTATTTAAAGGAACCTTAGGCTTTGTTATGGTCAGTTGAATATGAAATAAGAAATTGATTGACTCTTGTGAATTTTATTGAGAGAGTATATCGTTTATCATTCTCATTCGTACGCTTCCTACATCAGTTGCTATCAGAAGTCAGCACGATTCAAGATGTTGTCGCGAAGACATGATGCTGCAAACGACAGGCGTGTCGCCGCCATCTATAACCTGAGCTGTCGGACCGAGTGGTTTGGCCACGAGCTCGAGACAATGGGTTGTCAAATTGCAGATCTGTCCGCGGAGATCGGAGACATACGTCTAACTATCTGTACCATGGTTCGGGACAAGCAAACGTACCGTGACGCCGGCAACCGGGGCGTGTGCGGGGGAATTCACGGAGGACGTGGAGGCCGTGGTCCAGGCGGGGCGCCCCGCCAGGGATCTCCACAATTACCGTCCGGCAATGACGACGGCGAGGAGGCAATCTCGGAGGTGAATCCCTTTGGCGATTATCCACCCCCGCACGTCGAGGCTGACCCCTTCGCTGCATACAGCGGCCGTGACATGCGGCGACGGGACCCAGTCTTCGTGGACGGCGACGATCAACGCAACGACAAAGGCAGGCGCGAGGAGGCTACCTTCGCCAGCGGATATCGTGCCCGATACGATTGAGAATTTGATTGCGAATATGGCCAAGGGGGGGCCCGTTTCGCATTGATATCCCAGAATTCGAAGGAGAGCAAGTTGACGGGCCATTGTACGATGGTCCGCCGGTGTTTGATGAAGGACCCGAGGAGGTGGAGGAGCGTCTTACCGGCGAAGAGGACGGTCTCTACGATGGTCCGCCGATTTTCGATGAGGGGCCTCCGGGGCCGGAGAAATTCCATCATGTTCCGGGTATCAAATTTCAACTATTGGAAAATTTGGTAGTTCTTCTGTTGCGCAGGCCCGAGCTATTCTCCCACGGGAATTTATTGCGGCCTTGCAAACAGATGCTATTTTTTGGTTCTCATGGTGACTTCAAATTTTTGTGTGTGGCTGCTGCATATATGCCTTTCCATGAATTTCAAGGGGGTGATACCATGAAGGTGCGACATTCAACCTTCGTGTTCGACAGGGGGAAACGCCGAGTGATGACTGCCATGGGTACGACTCCGGTGTTGACACGTTTGGTGCGGCTTTGAGGGCGAAGCCTTCCGAACCGGAGGAGAATGATGCAGAATAATTAGATTATCATTATTATTATTATTATTAGTTATTTTGGAGAATAAGTTAAGAATTGTTTAATATTTAATAAGAGTTCTTGTCTTGTTGGACAAGTTAGGTCTAGGGTTAGGAGCCTTATATAAAGGACTCCCTCTAGTTTATTTTCATTAGTTGATTATTGAATGAAATATGAAGTGATTGTGAGTTTTATTGAGAGAGTATCTCGTTTATCTTTCCCACTCGTACGCTTTCCTACATCACTAATCCAATTCCATTTGTAGACCGTGAATAGAAAATTGACATACTATACAAGATGTGAATAGGCAAACAAGTATAACCGCGCTGCGATACGAGGTTTTGCCCAAATTTCTATAAATTTGCTATGATGAGGAGGTGAGATTAATTTTTTTTTTACCCAATTTTGTGTAAATAAATATAATAATATTTTTTTTGCTAAATAAATTTTGTACTTATGTTGCATTGAATTTTTATTATTGGGAGGTCACATCACTGGAATTATACTGGTTGCATATATGAAAAGAGGGATGGACAAAGTCAAAGAAGGACATGTCTATAGAATTCAAAAATACCAATTAGAGAGTAATTATGGCTCATTTCGACTTACCATTGCCCAGTTTAAAATTGTGATCCACGGCATGACAAATTTGGTGAAGTTAAAAGGTGACTTACCTCTAGGTTTGATTTGTGATGCCTTGTTACTCTCCGTTATGTTGTACGTCAAGAGCAAATTGTGCTATTTGGTAATTTTCTTATCTATTTTTTTAGTATAATTATCATTTTATTTTAAAATTATAATAAGTCTACAATTTATTAGCAGATGTAATTAGTCTGGTGGTTGAAATTGGATCCGTAAAAATGAAAGATGTTGACGGTGTCCAACACGAATGATTGTGTTTACTCTCATTGACTTAGAGTAAGCACTTCTTTTATTTATTTTTATTATATTTTTTGTGTAAAAATTGAATTAATTATTTATTTAAATAATTGTTTAGAAGAAACAAGATTGATTGCACACATTNAAAACGATAGATATTATTATAAATCAAAAGTGCACAAATGTGCGAATACAAGCAGTTTCTAGCTGAATGAGAACAGCCAACAGCTGAAAAGTGGGAGGACAGGTCAGAAGACCGCCTAGAATCTCGACTAGCAACGCTAGAATAAAAACTCGCAACTAAACTAACCAACCATTCAAACAACTAAAACAACTAAAAAAGACCCCAACAGGGTAATGCCCGAGTGTCGGATCCCAACAGGATAATAAGGTGACACTCGGATACACAGAGGCCAACGGCTCAGACCAAAAACACAATCCTAAGCAACACAATAACATAAACACATACCAACCAAAACTAAAATAGAAAATAAATAAAACGAGAGTCCCAAAGCAGAAAACCACATCGAGCACAACAACGGCAAAGTCTCGGTCCAGGATCCCGACCCAGAAACTGCAAGAGAACGCCTAATGGAGTCAAGAACCAACGGACCTTACCCTCGTCCAGACGAACAACTCCACTGTCACCCGGAGACAAATACATCTAGCCAACCAACCCAGCCCAGCCTGACCCAGCTCAGCCCAGCCTATTGAAGCGCAAACCGGCCCTGCCCAGCCTGAACTGACCCAGCCCATCCCAGCCAAGACCAACCCATCCCAACGAGCACAGAAGCCCAACCAATCGATCTCAGGCGACCGCGACTCCAAAGCTCCACACCCACTCGTCCGGCGATTGCGAGGCCAAGGGTTTTCAGCACCCACTCTTCAATCGTTGACCACCATGGCTCTTAGGGCGTGCTTGTTTATGAAATATTTCATTTAAAATGAGTTATTTTAGTTAACTAGAGTTAATTTTAAAAAAAGTAGTATGGTTAATTGTTAGTGGGATTTTAATAATATATTAAAATAATATTTAAAATAAACTGATTATTAATAATTTGATGTAAAAGTAGGATATAAATGATTAGAAATGATTGAAAATGATAGGTAGTTAAAATTATGTGAGTAGATGAATAGTGAATTAAAGTTGATGTGATATGTAAGAATGATTGGTTTATAATATTTAATTATGTAAATAATATAAATGATAGTGGGGTTGAGTTAAATTTGAGTTAAATTTTGAGTGTGAAATGAATTATTTCATAAACAAGCATGCCCTTATGCTCTGTACCAGGACCAGGGAAATCCAATTGGCCAGAACCCTATCTCCACCCCAAACTCTAAATCGGGGAATTGGGGTCGCAGCTCACTCCAAGAGAGCGCCGAAGGCCGCCACTGCGGAGATACCGGAGGAGAACGAACACCCGTCACTCGCTTCCGGCACTAGAGGCTGAACACCAGAAAATGGCGCGAGCTTCTCCCCAGCGAAAAAGCCCCCTCTAGCGGCGCAGCTCTCAGTGGCGAGCTAGAGGGCCCAGAAGAGCCACCGCCGAGCACTCGACGTGCCCTGCGAGGAAGGCGACAGAGGATTTACAGAGATGTGAGATGAGGGGAAGAAGGCGACGGGGGAAGAAGGCGACAGAGGGTTTTTTGAGAGAGAGAGAGTTGAATAATTAAATACTTCTTTTCAAAAAATCACATTAGGGGATTAAGTTGACTGGATTTTGGAAATTGAAAGTTAATATAGAAATGAGCGTCAACCACCGGTATTGATTCTATCTTCGGCAAACTAAACCATGAGAAGATATTTTTATTAATATATCAAATCATATATATATTGCCACTAATTAAAAGAGCTTGAAAATATTAGCTTGTGCGAAAGATGGTTTGATTAAAAATGTTATATTGTTCTTATTATTCTATTTTGATTAACTATTTCTATTCACGTAAATATATATGTACAAAAAAGCTTAGCAAATAACCTTAAAACTGTCCGCCCCGTGAATTGCACAGGATCCAAACTAATATATAAACACAGAAACACACACAATATTATTAAAAATCATGTTGTCCACATGTGTTCATTTATGCTCGTGAACTTGTTCGTGTTCTTCGAATAAATAAAGGAGCTGAATTGCATGTTCGAGCTCGGATTGATTATTAATCAAACGAGCCCTTAACGAACACGAACGAGCTTTCGCTCGTGAACATTCGGTTCTTTTCCCGCGCTAGTGTTGAATGTACCGGGAAACAATTGTGCCACGGTACAAGGTGCCTATGCATATAAGAGCATCCACAATGCTTTGGGTCTTTTAACAAAAAATCACATGCCACATGGGAAATAGACTTAGTCTATAAAAAAATATTTCCCAATGCAATTAAAAGTAGACATGGTCTAGCTTATGTGGCAATGAAAAAAAGAGACCAAGTCCACACTTGGGTCTATTTTGGACCCAAGTACAAACCCAAACACTCATCATTTGTTCTTAATTTAATTTTTTTTTAATGAATAAAACATATTAGAGCATTTCTATTGGTTGGCATGTATGATAGACCTAGTCTTTTTATTTTTGCATTGCAAAGTTTTTGAGTTTTTTTACTTGGGCTTGTCCATGTCATTTAAAACTCAAGTCCAATTATATGCCACATATACAAAAATAGACCCAAAGCATTGTGGGTGCTCTAATGCCCACAGTTGCAAAAAGACTTCAACATTATTATACAAAGAATTTGGAAACACCTCCAAATCAAAATTCTATTATGATACATGAAAAAAATAAGAAAAGCAGCTGCATCACTTTCTAAAGTGCATTCTTCACTCTATCAGTTTGAAGATGACAGCTATAAACAAAAGACTAGAAACAAAATTTAATTTTGATGGACTCAAAGTAGATGATGACAAGTCATGGGCGTTGACCGCATAAGCGCTTCCAGTCATTCCGTCTTTAACTCTGATGCTCGATGAACCTAAGCCAACATTCAAAGAATACAATTGCAACATATGTCCCGGGATGTTTTCAATTCAAAAGATTGACTGGTTATTTTTATTTTGTTTTTCAATTCTATATCAATGTTAATCTAAAAAAGGTAGCCAGCATATGCCATATACGTATAGGCTGCAGTAAACAGAATTACTTGTTATAAACAACTGCTAAGAAATACAGGCAACTGAAGAAAAGTTGGACAGGAAAAGCAATAATTTAACACTATGAACGAAATAGGCTACAATAATGAAGTTTAATAGGAGTCAACTCACAGTTGTACTGCGCCCATCCAATTGTCTGATTTTCGAGATCATAATAAACTAGTTTGTCTGACAACACTATGTCTGCAAATAATAACTAAAACGATTCAGGGGAAAATTCAAAAGTAAAGTATATACAGAAAAAATGAATAAGGTCAAAATCATTTGACCAATAAAAACTTGATTTTGAAAATCTTTCATTTACTTATTCGGATAAGAAAAGAGTCTAATATGAATGCACAGAACTTTAAGGTTAAATAGTAATGGTGGAAAGGAAAGAACAAGTTATTAATGCCTCCATGCAAAAAGGATGAATAATGAAAAATAACAAATTAAACATTGAAAATACCTCCCAATAAAGTCATATCTTGTCCATCCTTAGTTTGTGAGGCACTGTTTTGCCAACCTATGCAATACTCATTATCCTGAAATCAAATTTAATTCACATGTTGATAACTTGAAAGAGACAAGTGGTGAAGCGCAATAAGAAGCAGTGCCATTTAAGTAATCACACTAAAAAGCTGTCTGGAGCACCATTTTTTCGGTCTTTTCAATTATGGTCTTTGCGATTCAATGTCATAGTAGTAAGAGGGCATGTATATAAAATATAATATAAACTTTAAGAAAACCCAACAGCACGTCAAAGACATACTTCACTTCATACATTTCGTTTTCAATGGTTAAGCAAACAATCAAGAAAATTAGGATAATCTTAATATTTACAGTGATCTCTAATATGTAAAGCAGACAGTCCAAATCTCCGACTGGCCTGTTTTCATGAAAAGGTGTGTACATCCAACCAAATTAATCCAGTTTACTTACACTAATTTCAAACAGATATTCATGGGGATAAACAGTCAAAATGAGTGAGCCCTCAAAATGGAACTTTACAACTGGAAACCCATCATCAACACTGCAAGGTTATGTGAAATGGACAATCAGGTAAAATTCCATAAGCTATTAGAAGAACAGAAAAAAAGTAACACATGGACATGAGAAAGAGCGTGCAATTTTGTATTTAAAAAGTTTCTTCGCTGTAGAAAAATGAGTGGATAACATTTTGGATAGAAAAAGAAGAATTTGAAAAGTTTGACTGGTTATAGATGGAAATGTAATGATTAAAGTTGATTTGATTTAAAAAATTATAGTAGTTATAACTTATAACAATAAGAGAGTGGACAACATTTAAATTTTATAGGGGAATGTGTTAAATTGATTTTTTTTAAAAAAAAAAAAAAAACTAGTACTGAAAAAATATAGGTGAAATAAAGTGAGACGAGTTTTTAGTTAACTTAAATAAAATTCTGTAGTAGAGTGAATTGGAAACATTTGATATCCAATGCCCCCTAAGTTCTGCCACAGTGGTGATACCTACTTCCCACGGTACCATAAACATCTGAACTGCTGCTCAACCACGTGAGTTTGTAGATCCGGTTGTTGTTCCATGACCTAATGACAGATAGATAAATATGAAAGAGAGAGAGAGAGAGAGAGAGAGAGAGAGAGAGAAGCAAAACAGCAAAAAATGTAGATTGAAATGAAATAATCAAGAAACCAATGTTACTCAAATGTTCATCAAATGATAAAGCTCTAAGCTGGGGATTGATGAGCCTTTTAGACACACCTTACTCATAAGCTGTTGATAAACTACAGATGGAAGATAGGCCAAGGTTGTGCCGCTGTCGATTATAGTCCCTCTATTGGACCCTGCGTCGAATATGTCTGTCGGAAGGTTCAGAAACTGGCCTCCTACCTCAACCGATTTCAGAATAACGTTATAATGTTGCCTAAGATAATAAAGGGGAAAAAAAAAGTTCGGTCAAACAAGGAAATATTTGATGAACATGAAAGCATTTAGTAAGTTGTCCTGTGCTTGTGTTGCAAGAGCATATCACAAAAGAGATACACAGGAAATCAAAGTTAGAAATATGCCGATAAGAAGTTCATATTCAAGTTGATGACTAAGCACATTCGAATAATAGCCAGAACAGAAACAGCAAAATTGTAACAAAAGATTGATGTCACGTACGAATTTGGGACAAGCGGCGTTCTATTCACTTTTGGCTGCACTACTTCCCCAATGGCAAAAATGCCACCTCCCTTATTACTATCCAAGCAGTGAGAAAATACCTTTTTCACTTTTCCAGCTGAAGCAAGTTGTGAAAGAATTGAAGAGTTTGCTTGTCCAAAGCCTATTAATCCATCAACTGCCTCAGAAGATGAGCCCAATTGTCCAGACTGCTTCGCTGAGCACCTGGTTTATATCACCATAAGTGAGATATAGTCTAAAGTTCAATAAATAAACTTTAAACAGAAAGAGTTGTAAAAGTATTGGACGAGCTGAAAAAAGAATTTTGTTAACCAAACACAACACCAATCAGATACTTTACAATATATATGAGCAAATGAGGTAAGCAACTCAAGAACCTTCTCCTTAATATGGTCTTCTGAGTACTAAGTGAAAAAAACATTAAAATTAAACATATAAATACAAGCATGTAAGGGACAACACATTTAATGTGGTTATTTTAAAGTAAAACAAGTGATCAAACTTTTAAGAGCCGTAGGATGAAATTATCGAATGCACTAGACAATCAGTGCAGCCAGTACAGCCTCTTGATGACGAGGGGAAGAACTAAACCCTCTTCCTAACTATAAAGGTCTGCTTTCAATCCAATAAAATATGAAGGGAATGTTTTGCCACTAGACAGAAAAACATCTTTATTACAATTAACCTATGGACTAACAACAAATATATGTTATTAAAAAGAACATAAGTAAGAAGAAAAACATCTATTTAAAGTTCCGTCGTCAACAAGTCTCTGTCGACAACGTCCTTAGTGAACAATCGACAAATGCCAAGGTTTGGCAATCAATTTGATGTAGATTTCTGGTATTTTACATGGAAAATTCTCCGGATAGTGTAATATGAGTTAAGAAGATATAAAAAATTGCAAAACATTAAACATCTGAAAAATTACAACCAAGATTATCCAGTCTTATTAAGGTAACATCCATTCTTCAACAATTGACATTACTACCAAATTTTTTCACCAAAAATTTCAGGTTTCACAATTCACAGAGCATAAAAATAGTTTCCAATGACATTAATGACCAAGTGTAATGTATAAATAAATGTAGATAACTGTTAATTCAGGTAAGTAGCAATTCATTCACAAAAAATATGCATTCAGCTAAGGCAATTCAAGTAGACTTTTAATTCCCTATGTAACCAATTGGATTTAGTTAGCCCAACGGACTTTTAACATGTAAAGTTATGTCATGTTTTTGCAGTGCATTAGGATTATTGCCACTAAAGATTACACGGAGATTTCATGTACTAAACAACTATTATGTCGAATAGTCAGTAAGATAGATAAATGATGATAGTAGATGTAGCTTATAAGCATTGCATGGTTGTATAACTATGATGCACAAGTAATTAATTTAGGACAAATACAGCTAGGTCACGAGCTATCCAACCATAAACAAAAGTTGTGCACACATACATTCATGTATCTGTGAGTGTGTGTGTGTGTGTGAGTTTGGGGGTGCCAAGAGAAAATATAGGTGTACAAATCAATGACGTGAAATTTTCTTTTTATTTTTTATATGATTTATATCCGGACATGCAAACATCGTATCACACATGCAATCCGATAGCTACACATGCAATCCAATAGCAACTTTGATAAACTTATACATGTAAGTTGCCATCCAAACTCAGCAATCATTCAAAGAAAGTTTGATTTAAATTTTAAAACCTGTGCCAGTTACCAAATGCTGATTAAAGCATTAATATTTATCACTTGTAGCACAACAAATCATGCTAATGACAACTGAATAAACAGAACCCAGCAAGATTTATGCACTAGAACAAATGCTAAGGAGCATAAAATAAAATCTAGCAGTGATTAAATATCACAAAGGCTAAGCGTAATCAAAATATGAACCTAGTTAAATTCAAAATTTCAAATAGCTCCCTTAACGTATTACAATAATAGCCCCCTTGATCTTTTATACTTACTGAACAATCCACCTCTTTTTAGGGGCAATTTCCGTATTTGGATTGTAGTTATTGAAAGAATAACTGAGACATTATTGTAATGAGACTCAAACTCAAGGGTATTTTTTCAGTGATCAGCCCTAACCCCTAAGTCTGGGATAAAAAATGAGAACTCACCCAAAAGATATGGATCCGTTCATTGTCGATGTTTGGAGGTCCCCTGACACTTGATCGAGTCTGAATTGATCTCTTACAAAGTACCCTTCCGTTCGGCTTCCGTCTCCATAGGCAACAAAATATTCACAGTTCATTCCTTTTTTGCAGTCTGAATTGTGAAGATCAACAGCAATGGTACAAAAATCATCATCACAACTGATGAGCTCACCCGTGGAGGAGGCCGATAAATCATATCGCTTTAAACTTATCTGAAAGACAAAAACATAAAAACCATATCAGTCAACCCTAGTACCAATATTTTTTTTCCCTTCAAAAAAGGAAGCTTGATTTACAAGTTTGCATAATAAGGTGAAAGCAATAAGAGGTCAATCTTAAAATGCAAAAAAAAAATACATAGGATTGAGTAAATGCATACTTTAAGATCACTTTTTGCAGGACACCTCTGACAGTTTTGGCAATTCACCCACAGTATATCACTTCCAGTGTCTACCTGGACGTGATAATCAACTGGAGGAGTTCCAATAGTGACCTTTGTAAAATAGAGCCTGCAACAATTCATCATATAAAAATTCTGGTTTTTAAAATCACTACCTACCCAGCAAATTTGAAAAAATGACCCCTAAAAAAGGAAACAAAAAAAAAATCAAGAGAAATGACAATCAGATTACAATCTCATACAGACGCAAAGTCCATATGATCACACGCTCATCGAAAAGAAAAAAGAAAAATAAATACTTGTGAAAGTTCATACGCTGCACCGGTGGGTGAACCATCACCGCCCAATGGAAAATCAAGAGCGGCAAGCATTCTACCATGCCGCCGCGCGTCGTGTGCTCGGAGTTCCCCCAGCGCCTTATTGCTTCGTCCACCGTACTTGTGATTAACTCTGAACACTATATTCCCAGTCACCGCCCACATCAACTGAATGGAAAACAACAGCGCCAAAACGGAAAGCAAACTCAAAGATTCCATCTCCACCGACGAGAATCGCGAATAAAGTTTGCAGACAAAAAGCAGAAGAAAATCCCCAATCTCCAGTACAGAATTTGAAAAAAAAAAAATATTAAGGTAGAACCGAAAACAGAGATCTTTCTTATATAGATAAATTGAACTCTTGGGAGTGTAACAAGGTAATCGGAATCACTTGTTGAGATCCTTTGGAATCAACCTCATTTCCATCCAAACACAAGACAAAGACGGATATATTCCTCTTTACAAAGGAAAATTGGTTTTTTTGGGATCAAAGCTTTTGACTTGTGGAAAATCAGTTTAAATTTTGAAAACCAGTTCAATCTTCGAATCAATTTACTAGTATTTTTTTATATGGAATCAACTATCTTCCATATTTTATGTTTGTTTTTTATATCAATTTTAAAAAGAGTTGTGTCCAACATTTACAATGATCTGATTTTATATCATAACAAATAATTTTGTTAATTAGATTAGAGTACTGCATTTTTTATTGACATTATACCAAAATTATCTTTCAAAAACTCGTGAAGGAAAAAACATTTTTTATTGACATTATACCAAAATTATTTTTCAAAAACTCGTAAAAAAAAATACTCATATTGATAATTGTGTAAATCAAATCACAATATTGCCCTTTTTTTATTGATTTTATGACAAATCAAATCACATTGTTGTCAATAAGCAAAATGTCGACTACATATAGTGCAAGAAATATCACCACTTTTCCGTCACTATGACGCGTTGATTCTCTAACATGATTTAGAATTTCGAGCTGAGATGAGTCGAGCTCACAAGCAATTCATTTCGTTTATCAATTTTAGATGTTGCACTAATTGATACAGTGTTCGATCATTGTATATCGCAGTAACTAGGAATTTAGCCTTCTTTCCAATCCTCCTATAACAANCAAAAAAAAAAAAAAAATAGTGTCTTTATTTTATAGACAAGTATAAATGCAAGGATGAAGTATTCATTTTTTGCGAATATATGAATAATAGTCATTTTGTCATGTGAAATGACGTAGTCCCAAATTTTTCAATAGAAAATAATGTATAATTTATGTCACCGAAAAACTGTTTTCTAAAATTCCAAATTGTAAAATTCAAGACATTGTTCATGTGTTCTAAAATGTAAAAACCATGTATAGAATTCTAAAAATTAATTATACAATTCAAGATATTATTTAAGTGTTCCAAAAAACGTTATAAATCATTTCTGCAACTATAAAAATGGTTTTGAGTGAAAAAAGTATATAGAGGTTATTTTGGTTATTTCATAGAGCAAAATAACTATTATATTTCATTTTTCATAAAATGAGAATGTAAGCGAGATTTAATTGATCAATGATCATTGATCGGTAAAAATGTAAGGGAATTAATTGATCACTGCTGCATTATAGTCCAAAAAAGTTGGAATTTTATAAAGAGAAATGTGGTGTCCGCATCTGTAAAACTGTTGTGTTCTTATGGTTACAGAGTACAATCCTCGAATAGAATATCAATTTTTTCAATTCTACGAGAACCTGTCCCGAGTTTCAGAAGACCCATTAGAAGAGAAAATGTTGACAGTATCGTGTGATGCTGCACTTAGATAGGATACGAAAATGAGTTCATGGAACAATAGCCGAATTTTGCAAAGAGGGCCGACTTTTAAAGCTCATCCTGCAAAAGGATAGAAAAAAGGCAAAATAACAAATCGATTTAGGAATAAATTATTGATGCGTAGTTAAACTAAACTCAAACTCAATGTCGATATAGAAATAAATTATTAATTCGTAGTTAAACTAAATATGAATAGATGTTCGTAATGTATAATATAGATTATTGTATCATATACTGGGTATGATGTTGTTGTTGTATTATTTCTATCTATGTATATCCCTCAAGGGTGCCAGGTACATGTAATATGATTATTCTTCATCAATCCTATTTCTTTAACTAAAATAATCAATCTCATAACTTTTACTAATTATGCTTTCGCAGGTATAAATTCAAGAATATTAAAAAAAATGATGATTCTCATCAACTTTCATTCAATACACGTAGGAATTTGAAATACAAAGTAATTAAAGTGTACTTACATGATAGTCATCGTCCATATAATCATGGCGGCGCTGTAAAAGTAAATTTTCAGATTAGCTCTGATAACAGTAAAGAGGGGTAAACCCTTCCCAAAAGCAGAACAACACGAGCATAAAAGAATACTAGGAACGCTCTATAGATGGCTCATTCAAATCTTATCCCATAGCCTATATTTTCAATTTCTAACGAAGTTAAACAAATCAAAAAAATGTAAGCTGAATATTTTTCTCATGTTAAACGTAAAAGGGGTAGGAGTTGGGGAGAAGACTCCTGAAAATTAATTGACACCTTACATAAAAGCAAGACTTTGGAAGTACTTTGGAAGTCAGAAAATGAGCTATGAAGAGAAACTTGTGGCTTTAACAAAAGAATTATCTTCAGACCTAATAAATATTATGGTTATACTGACAATATAGCTTGACCAAGAAAGGGCTAACCTTTCTGTATCTCTCTCTGTGACGCTCATTGTGTCGAGGCCTTCTATCATGACCCCTTTCTCTTCTCCTCCTTTCACCTTCTTCTCTTGCTCTCTGTGCCTCCTGCATTAAACAGACAAATATAAAATAAAAATTAAAACACTTCATATGTTAATTGAAATATAAGGTGTCAACTGGTTAGGTGATTATACCTCTTCCTCCTTTGCTTTCCTCACTTTTTCTGCTTCCTCGAAGGCTTCTTTTTCGGCCTAAATAAAATCCAGAATTGGGAACAGGAGTGTTATATAAGTGACAAGGTAATTAATAATTGACACAAAACGTGATCTTGAAATTGATTGAAACAGAAAGTCCCCCACCTCCCTATTAGCAAAAATTTCATCCACTACATTCTTTGCATAGTCGGGATCGTCACAAATCAGAATGTTGTCAAAAACCGAGCCAGCTTTCACCTGTAACCATATCAAAGCTAATTCAAACAAAAAGAGAAATTAAAGAAGAAAAAAATGTAAAATGTTAGCCGTGCTGAAAACTCACCTGCCAAACTTCAATACCAACATACTTAATAGGCTTTAGAACATACAGATCGGGGTCATCCTCAAATTCTGGCCAAGAACAAAAAGTGGCCAAGTTAAGCTAACATCCCAAATTATTATTCCTTCAAAATTTCTGAGATTGGAAAAGTCACAGGTAATGTTTATGGATATGCTTTACCGGGATTATCAATCCAAGGGATCTTCCATTTTCCTTTATAATTAGGATTCTTGATTTTCTGCTCAATAAAATAGAATTTGATGCCAATGTCAGTGCAACGATTAAAAGGGAATAAAGGTATTGCTTGGAGGCTTCTAAATCATCTTGCCACACCTTAGGCTTCCATGGTCCCTTGTATTGTGGATTTGGAATTTTGGGTGCTTTCCATTTTCCATCTTCTTCTTCATCCCAGTCAAAAGGCTGTTCGAAATAAACCAAATAAGTAAATTTTTTTAATATTACATGTCTTTCATTGACAATTCGGACAACTACAGAAACCTAAATATGTTTTAATCTAACGAATAAATTTCATAGTGAATTTGAGCAATTCCACACACACACAACTAAGAAGAAAAGGCTAAGAATCAAAGCAGAGTAAGCATCCTTTGGCCATAATTTTCCAATCACCGACCTCATAGTTCATGATAACACACAGGTGATAAAATTGTGAAAAAATATTCTTGATGCTTAGTGACCAACTAACCTCCTTTGCCTTCGGATCAGGTATTTCACGTGGAATAGAATCATATCCCTGCAGTGTAATGAATAATAAAAAATAATAAAATACAAGAAACATAAACAAAAGATACTAATCAACTTTTAAATACCCAGTAAATGCAGCACACTGCAGTACCTCAGGTTTAACGTCATTTGGATCGTCTATATATTCTCGATCATCCCAGTCAGCAGGCTGCCACAACAGTTTTAGAAAGGAAAAAAGTAAGTGCGAAGAAACATATAGTCAGTTCACATTAATTCTCTCGTACTCTATTCTGACGACAATAAGCATGCAAACTTAGAACTAAATCCAGCATTCTACGACAGTTCTTAACAAAGTGCACAAATAAGATGCATGTAAACGGCATAACAAGGGCGATGAAACCAGCATACCAATTAAAATCTATTAACACTGACTACTTAGTTCAAGAAAAAGGCTGGAATAGATTTTTTTTCCTAAAAAATAACCTTTTTTGCATTCTTGGCCTTAATTTTGCGGGGAGGAAGGATATCCCAATCTGTATACATGCTTCCTGAATCTCTTTCTCGACCGTCAATCAGAATACTGTATGACGCATCAGGCCTAAGGATGAATGTGTAAAAATGAGTTAACTTGTCCGTTTCACATTGCAAATCCTTCTTGATGGGGTAGTTTTGACCCTGGTATGAAAGGATGACATGAAGTTTCTTCGTCTGAGTGCCGCATATATCAGGTCCAAACATCATACTGTGAGTAATGGAACATTTTCAAATCAGTGCTTTCGAAATTAGAGTGTATAAGACAAATGTGCCAAAAAAAAAAAAAAATTCGGCACTTTGGAGATGTAAATTCCGAATTTAGAACATAATAGCAGGGTATTCTATGGCCCCGTCATAAAAACACAAAAATGAAATTATATATGAACCATAGCGTCATTAAAATCTACATTTAGCATCTTAACACAAATCTAATGACAACAAACTATTTCCTACTCTACGTAAAAGTCGTAAGACTATTCAAAGAGCAAGTTGAATCCACATCCGAATATGAATGCTAGATACACATTTTTACATTTGATGGATTTTTTCATGGCTATGAGAAGCCCCTATCCCCCTAGAGAAAATTTAATGACAAAAAGTTAACTCTACAATTCCTAAAGGTTGAAGACATTTAAAGAAATTGAATTCCCATGTGAATATGGATGTTGATTACATGTTTCAACATTTAATACTTATCATGGTTAAGTGCAGCCACTATTCCATCGTGTAAACTATTCTTAAATAATTAAGTTGGGTAATAGTCATGAATTTTCAAGTGACATTGAATAGTTACCGTTGAGTGCAGGACTAGGTCAATCGATTAGAGTGAAAACAAGTAAGGAACCACATATTCAGAAATAATGATAAGTCTGAATGAACTGAACATGGTAAACAAGTTTTTCTATATCCCCAAATCTGCTGCTAATCAAAGTCATCATCAAATGCTTTGCATCATATGCATTTACTAAACCTTATAAGATCAAGCATGATATATGTATTCGTACAAAGAGATTACCAACTCTAATGGCATGATTGGTAGGAAGGAATGACATGGGAATAGAATGATCATTCTCTTACTCATTCTTTATCCCATGATTGGTATATTTTTTGGAAAGGAATGACCATTCCAATGGGAATGGCAAAACCCATCTCCATGGGATTAGCCAATCCATAACTAATGAAAGGTTTTCTCATTCCCATGTGTGTAGGAATCAATTTTTCAAAAATTAAAATTAACAAATAATAATAAAAAATAAATATAAGATATATATTATAAATCATGATTAAAATATATTAAATAAAATTATTTAAACAAAAATTCAAATAAAAAAATTGAAAACTTACTTTTATTTATTTTTTAATTAGATATATTAAATACTTATATAAAAATAAAACTAAAAAAAACATTTATATATAATTTAAAAATATATTATTTTATTTATATATATTATTAAAAAAAGCATTTGTATATGATTTATTAAAAATATATTATTTTTTAAAAAACATTTATTTATTTTTATAATAAAAAAATTATAATGTTATTCTATTCAGGTCTTATTCCTTCTGCATACCAAACGCATCAACGACAAAACTTGTTTCATTCCATTCCCATAATCATTCAATTCTTCAATTCATTCCATTCCTACGAAATTTCGTTCCATCATACCAATCATGCCATAAGAGTTAATACATATAGAACTATGTTATTATTAAAACTTTCTAAAATTAGGAACTTTTAAAATTTTTTAATAGGAATTTTATCAGTTTTTCATAATATTTGTCTTAGGATCTGATTAACTTTTTTTTTCATCCTTTCTAATAAGAATATTATCACTTACTTTTTATTTCTCTCATACATAGTAATCAATATTATTGTAGAGATTATCACTTTTATTCTTTTAATTCATACAATCATAATGAAAATCATATTTGATCTTATCAATTTTTACTAATTCATAATGTGAATATGAAAGTTGGTTGTTTTTTCTGCTAGATTATTTTGTACCAAGTAAAAAATTCAACAAGTTGCCGTTTTTTGTTTTCCTGTTTTGAGCTATGAGATTACATACACACACACACACACACAAAACTACAAAATAAACAAATGAATGTCAACAAGTATTTCAAACATCAAGTATATAAAGTTAAAAGGATAAAGTAAGGGGAACTACTACGAAAATTATTCAATATTTTTATATATCTCGATGGAATTAATTCATACGTTTCAAAATAATTTACACATGCTACGCACTAGTTTTCATAAAAAGAATAACAGGAAAACTAAATAACTAGATAACAAGCAACCTAGAAAATGGACAGATCATGTGTGCACATTAGGATATTCTAGCAGCCTAAAAATCTCATATACCTGTAAGGAGTGTCGCCACCAAATTTCTTTTGATTGACATAAGCAGAAAGAAGCTTTATGTAACCACCTCCACATTCTATGTCCTGCTCAAATCTAATGGAATATTGAACAACCAATGTTCTATTCTTGTTGCTGAATTCCGGTATCTTAGCAGATATGGCAAAGTGCCTAGCATCGGTGGTTGTCTGAATGCCTGTTAAGATATGGATACTCTTGAAAAACTTATTTCAAAGTTACAGGAGTCAGTTGAACATCCTTTTATATTGATGAAGTTTAAAGAAAATAATATTGAAAAAAAAAAAAGAATGATTAACTTTGAAAGCATGATTAAATGTGAAATGTTACTGCACCAAAGGAAAATAAATTGAAATAGATATAATAGTAAATTGATGACTGAACTATGGACTGAAGTAGGCAAGTGAATAACAGATGTTGTAAGAAACAGTGTAATAATGATGTTGATTTGTTTCATTAATTGCAATTCTACAGAAACACAGAAAAGGATTTTTCTTTTCTTTTCTTTTCATATCCAATAGTGGCCTTACATTTTACACCATGAACCTAACTCAGTTAAAAAGGATAATTTCTAAAAGCATTCTACAAATCAACTTGTTTTGTTTGCCATACGTTCTTACAACCAATTATTATTATTATCCTAAAAAACATTAGAAAGAGAACAATTCAAACCTTTATCATCAGGGTCACCATTCCACTTCCCAGCAGTGTGCTTAAAAGATCCTGCTTTTCCCTCACTCCTTTTCCAATCAGACTTCACCCACCTACTCTGCCAACCATCTTTTCAACATAAAAGAAAAGAAAATTATGCCTCATTAGATGTTCCAACAAGAGAGATACAGTGTATAACAATTTGTGATTCCAAACAAAGTTTTTTTCACAGGAATTTGCAAAATTGTTCTTAAATTAACTTGTAAGAATACACTCATCTAGAGTGAGTCCAATAATCTATTATTAAGTCTCCAATCCACTGTGATAAATGTATAAAAATATTAAAATCACAGAGGTATAATAAAGAGGGCTAGCAGACTAGAAAGAAAAGAGACTTTAGGCATCGAATCTGATAAATACAACTACTTTCCGCTTTCCGCCATAGCAGCTAAGGATTTCAGACATCCTTACGCAGCTTCAATGCTACATAGCATCGAGCTCACGAGAAGACCAAAATTTGTCTCTCCAAAAAAGGAACTAAAAAACCAATCATAGCTGATTTAACTGCTCGCAAATAACTTGACAATAATCAAGGTAGGTGGTAAGAGCATACCTTCAAAACGCTCCTCGAAAATGATTTCAGCGAATGAAGAGCAGAAGAAGAGTGAAAAGAAAAGCGCGAGGGACAGTGGCTTGTGCTTAGCCATACTTGAATTGTGCTGTGGGAAATTGAGAAATTCTTTTCGGGATAATTATAGGATTAGTTTGTCATTTCAACCCCGTGACTTGTATTTATTTACAGTCGTGCCCGATTCTAAATTAGGGTCGACGACTTTTGAAGTCGTCGATGGTCAGCTGGCACGTAAGTTCCTCCAATGGGATTCCTTCTCCTTTTCCGAGAAAAATTACTCGCGTGAAATTGGTCGCAAATATTTAGGTGCCCTGCATAGCCTTTTGTGAGATACAGTTCCTTCAAAAAGGCATAAGGTAAGAAGATAGAATATTTTTTATTTTTAAAATGAGACATGTATCTCATTTCTATGTGATAATGAATTTCATATATCAAATTATATAAATTAAATTATCATTCATATTTTGTATCAAAAAATAAAAATAAAAATACCAAAATTCATAATTTTTCATTCTCTACAAATAGAGACCACATTTGATATTTTTTGGAACACATTAATTTATCATTTTTTACAATTAATTTATCTTATTGAAAGATTATGACGCAAATCTATAATTAGATGAATATGTTACATAGTAAGATGAACATGTTATAGAGTAAGATGAACATGTCATAGAATAAGATGAAAATGTCACATTTTCATAGATGAAATTTAGATGAACATGTTCTAAAATAAGATGAACATGTTACATAATAAATGAACATGTTATAGAATAAGATGACTATGTTACATAATAAAATGAACATATCATAGAATAAGATGAACATGTTACATAACAAAATGAACATGTTATAGAATAAGATGAACATGTTACATACACAATAAGGTGAACATGTTACGTAATAAAATGAACATGTGAGAGAATAAGATGAACATATTATAGAATAAGATGAACATGTTACATACACAATAAGGTGAACATGTTATAAAATAAGATGAATATGTTACCAAAATGAGATGAACATGTTATAAAATAAGATGAATATGTATTATTTCAATCTGCAATCTGTAACATGTTCATCTTATTTGAAAACATATTCATCTTGTTATGTAACATGTTCATTATATGTCAGTATAATAAAATAATTACGAAAAAACGAAAAATTAGTTATGCTAAAAAACCTATCAAATGTGGTCTCTATTTATAGATAATGAAAAATTATAAATTTTGGTATTTTTATTTTATTTTTTTAATATAAATAATTAATGATATTTTAATTTATGTAATATGTCTCATTTTTCAATTAAAAAATGAAAAATAGAAATGTGCACTACACTCTCTAAATTTTCTAGTTTTTTGGGGTGAAGGGGCGCGTGTAAATTTGCCTTGACACATTTAGCTAGGTGTGCCAGGACACACAGTAGTGCTACTGGAAATTGGTGAGTGGGTGAGTTTATCTAGGTTGCTCATTTATCATATTTTTTATATTAAACATATGTAGTAGATGCTACGTGACATTCTTGTGTTTATATTGTTTTATTAACCACTTCTATGCATAGTTTATTCTTGTATGTTTATTCTTGTACTTCATACTTTTATGTGTAAATTTATTTATGTTGATGGGAAGTATAATGCATATAAATATGGAGTTATGTACAGACTTCTAAAATTATAAAATATTTTACTAACTTAACTTGCAGATATATTTCAAAAATTAATAATCATTTATATTTGTTATCATATTTTTACATATTGCAAATCAAATTAATCATCTTTTTAAGAGTTACGATTTGATATCCACATTTTTTATACAAATAAATTTATCATCAGTTTTTATAATAAACATTAAATTATCTATCGTCTTTAACTAACAATAATAAATTAATTATCAATTAAGTTCACTATATAATACAAATAAAAAAAAATATTATTGTACGTGTGTCATTTAAATATAAATAATAACAATAATAATGATGAAATTTTTTAGATTTTAAATTTAAATAAAAACATTTATTTTATTATTTTATTAAAATTTAGATAAACAAAAAATTATTAGCATGTAACGCAGTGATGTTGCACTCGTATACATATTTTTATTGGAATATTAGATGAAATATTTTAGAACATGTTTGTTTATAAGATTTTTCCAAAAAATTTCAACATTTTAATTTAACCATTTTTTTTAACTAACTTTAACTGAACCCCACTATCATCAATATTATCGATATAATTAAATAATATCAATCAATCAATCATACACACCACATCAACATTAATTCATTATTCATCCACTCACATTATTTTAACTAACTATCATTTCAAATCATCTCTATCATACTTTTACATCAAATCAATTTTAATTATTTTATTTTAAATATTATTTTAATATACCCACTAACACCTAGCCATACCACATTTTTCAAAATTAACCAAACCAAACCAAAAATCTAAACAAAACCAAATATTTCCATAAACAAACATGCTCAAAAAAAATTGAAGGGCTTGGCCCTGCCAGTTGCCATTGACCCTTGCGACTACCACGTCTTCTCAGTCAAGGTGTTCGTGGACCAGCTAAAAAAACTCCATTTCTGGTTTGTTTTGCATCGTACCGAACATTTTTAAAAAATTATTCGACAAGCATTCCATTTCTCTTTTATAGACTCGAGTAAGCTCAGTAGAAGTCTCATTGTATACTTCAACTATTTGCTACCTTTATTCCAATGCAAGGCATAGTTTCAGTCCACAAAATGGAAAATATCGAACACAGTTTTGATCATACATAATTATAATAATATAATATGCCAGCACAAAATTTCCAACAGGAGCGCGTGCTACAATTCGTAACATCATCTTGCAATAAGATCTCCCAATCACCAGCAAATTATACACTATAGGGCTGCCGCTCGCCAAAGGAAAATAAAAGAAAGAACGAGAACTCGTCAGAAAAGATTTTAACACGCAAAATTGCCCACATTTCAGAATGAAAAATAGTCTATTTCCCAAAATAGAGATATCGAGACATGAAAAAACTGGTCATGCATAAATAACCGGAATGGAGGAAGTAAAATCAAAAGGCGAGCATCATAATGTTCCACTATTTTGCCTGGGGGTGAGATGCAATAAAGTCAACGGCAAGATTGATCGAGTTAATTTTGTCTGCTTCATTGTCGGGAATCTCAAAGCCAAATTCTTCTTCAAGGGCCATCACAATTTCAACAGAGTCCAAACTATCCAGTCCAAGATCATTCTGGAAATGCGCATTGGGTGTAACCTAAAAAGCCAAAACATATCAGATGCAGTTCGTAGTTAAATATGTGGGAGGAACAAGACATTCTAACAAATTTGAGACAATTCCAGTGAAGATTAATGAAAGGTCTCTTGTGAAATCATCATATACTAATTGTTCGTAGAATAGAAATCACCTCAAATCCTAAATAAATGCCACTAGAATGAATTCCAATGGCAAGTTTTGTGGTTTAGGTTATCACAAGTGCTACAATTTTTTGTGTCAAGAGGACACTAACCCAATGCAAACAATGGAACCAGTGGAGGCAAGTTGGCACACACGACATTCTATTGAGAAAGATTAATTAAAGAACAAACACTCCCACAAGGAAATAAATTAGTTTTGTGTCCACTTTATCATAATTGAATTACAAAATTACAATCCAAAACTACGAAGGTTGTGTTGTACCAACATATCTGAGGTCAGAGCTTAAACTTAGCATGAAAATAAAATAATGGAAAGTGGAAAAGCAATGAAACCAAAAAGAAACAAGTCCCCACAATACATCATGTTCTAACCACCGATTAACCTGAAGTATGCATTTTACTTTAATCATCCACTAAAAGGGAGCTGTAAAAAATAAAAAAGGATATATGATATTCCCCAAGCAAACGCCAAAACTATCTATAAAGAACAACTCAATCAATGTACAAGAATTTCACAATGCACTAAGAATGTGTTCTTGCAACACATTATGCAGTTACAATCCAAGACAACTGAACCTAATGTCTCTTTTATTACGAATAATCCATATACACTTAACTTATTAAACAAAAAGCCATCACAAATGACAAGCGTACAATTTCTGCATTAATGAAAAAACTTAAACCAATTGCTTGGTACCACTCATCAAAGGAATCCTCAAAAAGGACATAAATGCATGAAAATCTGGCATAGGTCCTTCAAGTTGACCTGCAACAGAGCTTAAAAACCCAAAAGACTAGCCATCAATTACAAACCAGTAAATAAAACAATTAGGTTACTTGATAGATATAATATGATGAAAAATGTTTTCATATTTTGTACCAAACCATGTTAACAACCAACATAATATGCTGAAGACAACAAGTATAAACCATCTTCTTAGAGTAGCAGTCAAAATTAAGAGGGAAATGACTCCCTTAAGGTTTCTACATCAACTGGAAACCATTTCAGACACTTGAAGCTAAACATTAATACCCACAGACATCAGCATCAGCTGTCATAAGGGAACCAAATAACTCAACTGGAGAGTGAATAATAACAAACAAAATAGTTTGTCTATTGAAACAACCCTTTAATAAAGTTAAGCGTTTCTTGGCCTATAATAATGCTCAGATTAGTACCATTTCAGCTGCATCTGTGGATTTCCACAATTAATTGTTGAACATATACCAAAAACCAAAAATCACTCCAATTCACTTTGCTATTAAAAAAATCCCACAAACCACAACACCACTACAAGCTAATACAAAAGAATAAAAAGCAACAATGTCTGAGTGCAGGGAGAGAGAGAGAGAGAGAGAGAGAGAGAGAGAGAGAGAGATAAATGGATTACCTTCGAAGGATCGACTTTCTGAAAGTTCTTAACAACGGAAAGTACACGATCGGTGACCTCGGGCTTATCGAGGAAAGAGCCCTTCGCATCGTCCGAGAAATGGCGCCTGATGAGCTGCGGCAAACCACCGACGCCGGCTCTAGGGTTTTGAAACAGTGGCAGAGGGGTCACGTTCACTCTGAGGTACGTCAGCAGTGCATTCCTCGCCGCCATTTATATTCACAACGGAGGCGATAAAACGCGGGTTTTCCAATTGAATTATGGCAAGGATTTCTCCTCGATGAGTACGTACAGTATGAAATTGGGAAATTAGGGATAGGGGTTCAGTTATGGATGAATGTGTTTCGAAGAGCACCGACAATGCTTTGGTCTCTTAACAAAAAATCACATGCCACATGGAAAATAGACTTAGTCTATAAAAAAATACTTTCTAATGCAATTAAAAGTGGACATGGTCTAGCTTATGTGACAATGAAAAAAAGAGACTAAGTCCACACTTGGGTCTATTTTGGACCCAAGTACAAACCCAAACACTCATAATTTGTTCTTTAATTTAATTTTTTTTAATGAATAAAATATATTAGAGCATTTCTATTGGTTGGCATGTATGCTACACCTAGTCTCTTTATTTTTGCATTGCAAAGTTTTTGAGTTTTTTTACTTAGGTTTGTCCATGTCATTTAAAACTCAAGTTCAATTATATGCCACATATACAAAAAGAAACCCAAAGCATTGTGGATGCTCTAAGGGCCAAAGTACATATGTCATATACAAACAACTCTAAAACTTTTTATGACATATATATATATATATATATATATATCATATTTTTCCTATTACCAACATTCATATTTTTGCAAAACTAAATGCTGAAAATATGCCCCTAGTCAGTTATGGAAGTAAGCTAACAAGATTATAATATATAATCAGAGTGTTTTAACTTTTAAATATCGTAACGGTAATCATATCGGGTGAGCCAACGGTACGCGATTCAACCAGTTTTATTGTCTATTTTATCGGTTTCAATAAATATTAAATTAATTTATTATTATAATATAAATAATGTACAAAATTAACTTTAATTAATACTACAATTAATTAACATCTAATAACAATGTACACATATTAAAATTAAGTATAGAACTTTCAATTTATATAAATAAATTAATGAAAATATATTAATAAAATATTTTTTAATAAAAAATTGGTATAAACCGATATTTTGGCCGGTATTTGTCGATAAAACCGGTATTTTTGGGTATGAAATCGATATAAACTGATATTTTGGCCAAAAAGGTATTTAGAGTGTGCCCGTACCGGTCGGACCACTTGTAATACCGACCTGTACGGTAGGGTATTTAAAGCATTGATATAATCAATCAGATCTTTATATCTAAATTTTACCAAAAATATAGATGTTATGGCTAACTTAATTGTATCATTAAAGACAAAGATGCATCTATTTATTTGGTCATTACCCTTTTTTTTTTTATTATTTGGCATGTGTTTCCATTCTTCAATATTTCCCTGACGGCTTTATATTGTGTCTTTCCACTACGGCTTGCATGGTCGCGTTATAGCAAGCATTCTCTTGTCCAATATTTTGGCTTGAACTTATTTGCTTGCTGCTTCATGTTAGTTGGAAAATAGTTGGAACTTATATTGCCTCTGTTGTTTGATAGTACGATACGACATCAGTTGACCATTACAGAAGATATGCGCCGCGTTAGAAAGAAAGCTCCATGCACGCTCTCTGAAAATTCAGTGATACAGGAACAACACATGGAAGATGAAATTTTTGCTGGAAGTGTATTAACTGGTGAGTTTGTGATGCTAACACTGTAAATGCGATTTTCAGTACGTTACCATTAACCTAAAAATTGTTCTATGTGGATGATGGTATTGTTTGATACTTCTGGAATTGTTTTGGTTTTAAAATTTAATAATTCCGACCTTTAATCACAAAATGTATTGGCCTTCAGGAATTTATGTTTGAGGAGTCGATGTGATGTCTATTGTTGACCTTGGAAGTTGTTAAAACTAAATATACCAACAATATGTCCAGCAAAACTAAACTCTTTCTCGCTGGAAAGAGTTAAATATTTGTCTTGCCATCCTTATTATTTGAGACCATTTACTTAAAACATAAATATATGTCATTTCCAAAAAGATACTTCATAGTGCTTGAAAATAGTCGGATGTGACATCACTGAGTATGCCTTACTAGAGATATCATTGCTTATTTAATTTTCTACTCTTCTACGGGTTCTGCTTCATGTCGTTCTTGACTAATCAAACTATAAAAAAAGCATGTTTTCTTTTCCTTTTTGGAAATTAGATGTTTCTGCTTTATGGATTAACATGTGTTGGAATGGTCAGCTTTTGCTCCCTTAAAACATTCTTATTTGATTTTGTAGGCTTTACAGCTGAATTGGCATTTTTCCATAGTCAGCTTTGTGATTTGAGCCACATCAGGGTCTGCAAAGATTATTTAAATGACCCTTCTCTTGAAACTTTGACTAAAACAGGTTGCCTTCCCAAGACGACACAAATCTTGCTGCCCCTCAGAGTTCTTTTGAACCAAACTTAGCTTCCACGGGTGAAAAATCTTGTGCTTCTCTTGAAACTGTGGTTGGATTGCATTTAATATCAACTGATAATGTAAACCATGATAAACAGCTTGATAAGGATAACAATATAATAGAAACAAGTGAGTTATACAATCTAATTTTGATTATGAAAGTCAATGAAACAACTGGTGTCTATGAGACTCCATCACAAAGTGAAATAAAGTTGGAGGGAGTTGTTAGACCAAAGATCTGATGTTAATTTCAATCAAGAGTTGGCGAAGCCTACTGATGATGTGAGCACTGATGCTGATGTAGGAACAAGTCCCATTAATGATGTTTCTGGTAATTCTTCTTTTATTCCTGAAGTTGAGAAATTAGATCCTACTGGACATAAAACTGGTGATATGCTTCAAACTGGCTCGTTTGATGACTTTGATGAGAGAAATTCTCATGTGAATATGGATCCATCTTGTACCCTCGTCTGAGTTGGATGGTGCTGATATTTATGATGGACAGAGAATTGCCAGAAAAGAAGTGGCAGAGAAGGATAATGGTTTTAGTGTAGAGTTGGGCAAGAGAATGCTTGCTATACACATGTTTTACATAACGGAGAATTACATTACATCAATTTAGCAATGTAACTCAAGGTCCTTTTAAAAACGCAAGTATTTTCTTTTTCTCTTTTGTTGCGACGCAACTAATATGCGTCATTAAACAATAAAATAAAATGCGACCAAATATTTTGTAGTGACATATAGTCCTTACATATATAATTAACACATCTCTTGCACACATATATAGTACACTCACAAGTTCAAATACAAACGATTGTCAAGTTCAATTATTATTGTAAACACACAATACAAACATAGAAATCACAAACAAACCGTACGTAGAATCCAAGCTCCACATAAATATATATATTCATCCCGAAACATATTCATGAAATAAGACACTAAACTTCTCCATCTCATATGGCGGCAAAGCAGCAAGCACGTTAACTCCACCACCCCCGCAACTCCCACCATCCCCACGCATCTCTGGAAACAAGAGAACAATATCCTTCCTCAGATACACAACCGGACAACTATACTTAGCCTTCCCCCAAGGGTACGCCACCTCATCAAACCCTAGCCTCCACCACGACGAGATCATAAACTCCCCGTGTGGAAACCCTTTGTTTAACTCTCCCCAGTCGATGACCGACCTCGCGTACTCATCAGTCATCCTGGCGGCCCCCTCCGCCACCCGTCTCACCGTCTCACCAAATGGCTCGTCTGCCAGCTTCGAGCATCTGGCAGACGCGTGCGCACTCAGCACAGCGTTTCCGCAGTAGGAAGCCGGCAGAGGCGGGACGAGCCTCTGCCGGATGTCCACTGCGAAGAGAATAATCGATTCTCGGTCGTGTGATGATGGCGTGGACGATGACGAGGAGAGGGCCTTGCACCGCCAGACGAGTGCGGCGACTGCGTTGAAGCCGGTGGCTTTTGTGGGCCCGGCTTTGGTTTTGAGGCGACTGATGTCATCGGGAGACAGGCGGAAGACGCGGAAGTCGAGGTTGTCTTGGCTGCAGTTGAACACCGGAGGAGTATTGTTTTGTTCGTTGAGGTCGAGTTTTTTAAGCTCCGGGTGGGGGAATGTGACACGTGGAGGTGACCTGGCGGCGAGGAGGCGGCGATGGTTGCATGGGATGGCGGCTAAGGGTTGGTCGCTATCGGGGAGTGATTGGGAAGCGAGGTTTTGGAAAAAGGTTTTGACGCTCGTGCCGTCGAATAAGATATGGTTGGTGGAGACTCCCAATGCGAAACTGCCACACTTGAATGATGTGACCTGTACAAATTATTAAATTAATCATAAAATTAAAATCACACCGATAATGAATTAATGAGATTAAATTATTGGTTGGTTGGATCTATCTATTAATTATTATATAATCATTAAAGGTTGATGGACAACGGATATGTATAGGGTGCATTATTTATTTGAAAAAAAACAAAAATCTGTGGAAAAAAATAAAAAAAAAAAAAATTGGTGGAAATCAATCAAACACACGGATTTTGAAAATCCGTGTTTCTAATTAAATTTTTAATACAAACACGGATTTTCATAATCCGTGTTTCTTTTTTTTTATTTTTTTTTTT